CTAGAAATTTCACTAACAATCTTAATCAAAGTACACATGTAGATTGAGGAGTTATATTTTGCTAGTACCACTATTGCAGAGCATTGAAAATATTCTTTCACGTGTTCTTCCTCAGTTTCTTTATTTAAAGATTAAACTGTTTTGCTATATTAGCAGGATTCTTTCACAATGGAGAGATATAATAACTCTACCCCAGACTCAGATGTATAATTTGAGGTTTATAATTATTATACATTCATTCATAAATGCCTACAAATCATCTATTTTAAAGGCCTAAAATCTTGTCAAAAGGTGGACATAGACATTATTAGTCTATGTTTAGAAAACTGTCTCTCCATTAAATAAAAAATGAACAAAATTAAGGGAGAGGCCAAAATTAAGGTCATGTCTAATTCCATACTTTTTTCCACATTTTATTTGCAAATATTTTTACTTAGTAAAAAAATATTAAGCTCCTAACATGAACCAGTGCAGTCATAGGTACAAAGAAGTGAGCCAGAGTTTTCTTGGAAAACCTAGGACCAGGGAAAAATCTTGCTAAACTGTAGAAACTAGACAGAGTACTCTAGGGAAAGGTGTTTCCACGGGTGTGATGGGGTTAATTGACTGAGGAGATGAAATTGTTTAAATCTGCACGTGTTAGTTTTGTAACTTATAAACAAATGCCTGTTTAATTCTATTTGGCATAAAATTAATCACTGCTTATGACTGTGAATGTACTGATGTGCTATTTGTGATGAAAGTGCCTTACACTTTGTCTTTGTGTGTATGCATATACACATATATATATAACATGTAAATCTTAATGTGTATTTCTGTAATATATATGTGTGTATCAAGCCATATTTTTTGTGTTTGTCTTATTTATTTATTTTTACATTAAGTATATAAAATAGAATGCATAGGTCTTAGTATAAAGCTTAATGAACTTTGTCATTAAATATACTCTCATGTAACCATTGCTGAGACCAAGATATCAACATTGTCACTAATTTTCCCCCTTCACGTATTTCACCAATTCCCCTACACACACACTCTCCCCTATGGCAACCACCAGTTTTTTCTCTGTGCCCATTAGTCTATTTCTGTTTTGCTCATTACTGCATTTCTTTTGTTTTTTATATAACACTTCTAAGTGAAATCATGGGGTATTTATCTTTGACTTATTTCACTTTGCATAACATACGCTAGGTCCATCCATGTTGTTTCAAATGGCACAGCTTCATTTATTTTTTGTAGCTGAGTAATATTGTACTGTGTATGTGTGCCACATCTTTTTATCCATTCATCGATTGATAGACATACAGGCAGCATCCATCTTTTGGAACAAATATAGGAGTTCATATATTTTTTTAGGATTAGAAATTTTGTTTTCTTCAGATAAATTTCCAGAAGTAGAATTGCTTATATTTCTATTTTTAGTTTTTTGAAAAATTTCCATACCACTTTCTATAGTGGTTGCAACACTTTGTAAACCCACCTGGAGTGAATAAGGTTCCCTTTAATCCACATCATTGAAAACATTCCTTATTTCTTGCCTTGTTGATATTAACCATTCTGGAATGAGGTGATA